GGGGGGAGGGGGGGGCGGCGCCGAGGAGGCGATTGAGGCCGGACGGGGCGGACGGCGACGCAGCCCGCGGCAGAAGGTCAGGCAGAGGGACACCCTGGTTGTTGCCGGGCCGGCGTAATGCTCGGGCTACCTTTTGGGGGTCCACCTCTTCACTCTCCTCGGTTACCTTTAGCCACCGCACGGACATCCGGCCCTCTTCCCACCCGGAGGACAGCAGTGGGAGCAGGTGGGGGGGTGGGACTGAGATGAATGGGATGGGAAGGGGCGACAGTTGGACGTTCGGGGTGCCCGGCGGGGGGGCAGAAGGCAGGCACCGGCTCCCTCGGGTCTGAGAGGGAAGGGGTACGAGGCGGGGGCGCGCCAGGTGTGACAGCCACGTGCGGCCGGCTCTGCGGGGCCTCGGGCGCCAGGTGCCCTCTTTCCCAGTCCCCGCCGTCAGCGTGCCCCCTGCGCTGGGCGTCTGGGGCTCCCTGAGGTCACGAGCTCACTGTCCTCGCGTCGGGCAGGTGCTTAGGGAGCGCCACGGGGTGCTCCCGGGCTGCAGGAGCGAGGCTGTTGCGCAGTAAGATAACCGCGCGGGAGCCGAGGCTGCGCTTCGCCCCCTTCCCCCGCCCCCCGGCGCTCCTTGCCACTGCGCCGGCCAGCAGGCGGGGGGGCCCCCCGCGACCCCCGGGCCGGGACCTGGCCATGAGGCTGGTCTCTGGGCGTCCCGGGCCTGATTGCACGTGGGGCCGGGGATGGGGAGGCAACGCTGGAGGACTTCGGTCCCGCCGAGTGGGGAGTAGCATCGCCTGGCTGGCTGTCTGCCCCGTCCTGCTATTTAACTCCTATTTCTTTCTTTTTTTTTTTTTTTCCCCTAAATTTGGTGAGCGGAAACTTGAGCACCTCGCAGACTCTGGCCTTTGGTCTTTATTAACCTGGGAGACAGGCTGCACTGTTCCCCTCGCTTTACTTGACCGGTCTCAAGGAGTTTACTCTGTCTCCCTGATACAGTACAGGAACGTGGAGACCTCTTTCAGAGTAGAATTCCACTTGTTCTGGAGCTTGGCGGGTGGAGTTGCGAAAAGATTGCACAACAAATGGGGTACTGGGCTTTCAGGGCCCAGGAACAGAATTTTGGGGAATAGGGCTGAGAAGGGGGTCTCTTTTCCTTGCAGGTGACCACCATGAAATGTTCAACTTTTCCGATGCCCTGCTTGATCACCTAAGGCCTTTCAGTGTTAATTAACTGTGTAATTGAATACTCTTAAAAATCACTCCTGGGGGACTAGCAGTTGGCGCGTAATGGCCGTGTCGCTGGACTCCCATGTAGTTGACCGGACCCGGTGGCCTAAACTCAGGCTGAGGGCGTGTATGTTCGTGCCTAAGACCCTGAGAGGAGAATGGAGAAGGGATTGCGGCGTGGCCACCCCCCTGGGAGGTGATTTCTCACTTTCTCTCTCTGTCATGCTCTTTCTGGAGAGCACATGCGCCCTATAGCAAAAATACCTCTCAAAAAATATCACTCCTGTAAGAAATTGTAATTTTTTTTTTTTTTTTTTTTAATACAAATCATGACGTTGGAAAGGGGGAACAAAGG